ACGGGGAATCGAACCAAGTACCTTGTGAATACTCAGCATACTCTCCAGCTGAGCTATACCCCCACCCCCAATGGTACTTGGAAGTGTGGCCTTTGGGAGGTCTTGGTTTAGATGAGGTTGTGAGGGTGGGCCCCTGTGATGAGATTAGTATCTTTATAAAAACAAGAGATCAGAACTTGCTTTCTCCACCATGTGAGGAAACAGTAAGAGGCTGGCCCTCTGCAAGCCAGGAAGAAGCCTCTCCCCAGAATCCAGCCATGCTGCACCCTCATCTTGGACTTCCAGCCTCCAGAACCGTGAGAGTAAATTTCTGTTTTTCAAGCCTGCCAGTCTGTGGACTTTCCTGCGGCAGCCAGGGCTGACTAAGTAAGACGCTGCGTCTTCCCTTTGCTTGGAATGTGCTGTTCTTGTCACTTCTGCCATGGGTTCTCCTTCCTCCAGCTCCTTTTGCTTGTTTTTGGAAAATATTACATCCTTAGAAAGACTTCCTTGACCATCTAATCTTCCCACTTCACCACTGTTAATTAAGTCCTATCTTACAAACATGCATAGATGGTACGTATTATGCAATCCACCTCGTTTGTAGCATGCCTCACGCAGCTAACCTGTGTAGCATCTGCTTCCCTGCTCGTCATAGGTTCCAGAGATGACGGCGGAGGCTTGATCTGTCTTGCTTGCTGCCAAGTGCTTACTAGAATGCATAGTATATAAAAACAGTGAGATTTGTCCAATGGTAAGATGGAATGACCTGCGTGGTACTCACTTAAATGAGTGTTGACTGTCTCAGGACTTGGGCGTCTCCTACAGCATTCTTCCTGCTTTCTGAAAAGCGGGGCTGCCATTGGAACATCTACTATCAACATTATAATATGGGAAGGCAGTTAATATCCTTTTTATGCTGCAATTTAGTGCCAGGCAGTTCTCATTTCATGTAAAAAACATGCTCTCTGTCAGTGCCTCTTTTTAGACTTTATCAGAATTTAAAGCTATGAATTTTGCATATTAGCAGAGGTATTTCTAAAGTCTTTTGGTTGCTGAAACGTCTCAAGTTGCCCATCGGCCGTTGAGTCCTTTAACTTGTCTTTGAAAGGCATTTATATCTCTCATTGTTATCCAAAGAAATTGAGTAGCTGATCTGAGAATATAGCAGTATTTTCACTTTTTAGTTTATTCTGTCTGTTCTCTGCCTTGAATAATAATTCAAACAAAACAGTTCAAAACTTAAAAAGGAGAACAATTATATTGAGTATATTTCCGCTTTTTTTTTGGAGGAATGCCAATATTGTAAAGCACTTTTCCAATCCTTTTAAGCAGAATATGAGCTGACTTATTAATAGTTATGTGCTCAGTGGGAGACAGCAAGTAGAAAGATCATAGATAGACTGGAGTCTGTCTGGCTCTGCACGTTGTAAACTGTATTCTTTGAACCTCATTTTCGTCATCTAGAAAATGGGATAATAATAGATACTTTGAAGCGTTAGTTTGAGCATCAAAGGTAATGTATTTTAAGCACTAGCACATAGTAATCACTTAAAAAGTCGTGACTATTTCTTATAAGTGGAGACAGAAACTCAGCCAGACATTATTCTTCAGACTGGTTCTTGCTGAACTGGGTGAGATTTCTTCACAGAGGACTGAAGGAAGTATTCACTACAAAAAGGGAAATAGAATTCGAGTCCTCTGTTTGTAGGATTAATTTTCCTTATTAATGCTGAGTTACCCATCTTGTCCTAACAAATAATGAGATTGGGCATGGCCATAAATGATACATCCTAATCCTGAAAAAAATGAAGATATGGCTGCATAAAATGCAGAAAAGTGTGGCTAGTTTTTTCTTTAAGATTTCAGCTGATCGATTATATGAATCGATCCTTACCTTTATATTGCTCTCCAAGGGTTAATTTATAGCTTTGATGGTCAGAACTCTGTAGTGTCAGGCATTTGGTATATGAGGTCCAGAGCTACTCTGAAATGTCAAGGCTTCAGTTTAAATTGCAGTTTTTCTCTTTTTTGATTTTGTTGGGTTTGATGTGTTAAACTTAGAATATATGAGTTTATGGAAAGTGTTAGGTACATTCATTCCTTTGATATTTATCAGGGATATAAAAACAATTTCATACTTTTGCTGAAAAATAACTAATCTGGAAATTGTGATGATGTGATAGTGATTTTAAAAAGTATTAGTATATTAATTATCAGAGAAATGCAGATCAAAACTACAATGAGGTATCACCTCACACCAGTCAGAATGGCCATCATTCAAAAGTGCACGAATGATAAATGCTGGAGAGAGTGTGGAGAAAAGGGAGCCCTCCTACACTGTTGGTGGAAATATAGTTTGGTGAGGCCACTGTGCAGAACAGTATGGAGATGTCACAAAAAACCAAAAATTAGATTTACCATATGATCCAGCCATCCTACTCCTGGGCATATATCCAGAGAAAACTAACTTGAAACAACATATGCACCCCAATGTTCACAGCAGTATTATTTACAATAGCCAAGACATGGAAGCAACCTAAATGTCCATCAACAGATGACTGGATAAAGAAGTTGTGGTATAGTTATACAATGGAATACTACTCAGCTATAAAAAAGAATGAAATAATGCCATTTGCAGCAACATGGATGGACCCAGAGATTGTCATCATAAATGAAGTAAGCCAGAAAGAGAAAGACAAACATCATATTTTATCACTTATATGTGGAATCTGA